ACATTTAGCTGCTGGGAATTGATCCTCGGCACTTTCTTGAACACCATCTCCATTTTTGTTGCAATTTCTTGGACTTAACTTACTTCATTCTTCTTCTAAAATACAGACCCTGCCTTCCCCAATAAATGCCACTTTCCAGTTTCAGAATAACTCAGTCCTTCTCATATGTATCCACACATGAGGAAGGAATGGAAGCTCAGCTGGGTCACAGAGAGCGGTGATTCTGTGCAACTCCTTCACAAGTTTCCTGGTCCTGCTGAAGATCAGGAGATTACTGTGACCAGGATGGGTCCATCACTGTATCCTTATGTGGCCATTTAACTCCATACTGACATTACTGTTACTTTTTATTTGCTACTAATAAAAAATAAAAACTGAAACCAAATGAACCTTCTAAAGTGAACACTCCTCTTAAACCATCCACCTGTAGCTTTTGTGCTCTGCTGGCTGTAGGAAGCTTCTAGGGGGTGCTAATAAGATTTTCTCTTGAGTCTTGGTGATAAGTTCTGAGTAGCAGAAACTATGTCTTTAAACTATGAACTAAAAAGAAAGACACGGCAGGATTTGTCAGTGGGAGAGGTATATTGATAATGCATGCATGAGCATGTGTGTGCCCAAACCACTTACCCCTGACCGCCAGCTAAGCCCCCCTCCATGCACTAAGTATGCATTTTCCTATTTTATGCCCAGAGCCATCCAGCCACTTTGTGGTCGTTGTTCCCCAATTCCATTTGTGGAACCAGAGGCCTAGAGTGTTTACTCATGTTGGTCCTGGGTGAGTTGGACTTGAATCCAGGTCTAATTCATCCTGTTCATTCTTTTCAGAGTAGTTTAGTAGACTTTCACAGAGCTCACCAGTATTTAGCACTGCAGTTTTAAGTTTTGAGAAGGGTTAGAAAGATTTTTCTTCTACTTAGCTTTTGGATTATTAGTGAATGGTTTCATGCGCCTATCCCGAGAACATTTCATAGTATATCAAATAGGAAATTCTGGGAACCCGGGGTATTGGTATCATTCATGTGGTATCAAGCTGACCGAAGCAGACAGAGCATTTACCAAGCAGTTGTCATCGAGTCCCACAGTCTGTTCTGGGCATTTAGTGGTAAGACCTTTGCCACAAGGACTTTGTCGATGCTGTCCACAGCAGTGTCTTTACTCCCTGGGCTTCAGGTGATTGTAAGTGCTTTGTGCCATGATCTCACTTAAGAGAGGAGATACGCCATGAACACGGCCCTCGACTACCACAGGCGTTCCAAGTTCTTTGAGGAGGCTTCTTCTGAAGCAGCACTGTTACTGTATATATTCTGCTCAGTAGGACTTGAACTACTGTTATCGTGCATGAGCTAATCCATTTTCTAAGGGGTTAAATGAAGTGACATTCAGTCGACTCCGAAGTTATGCAAAATAAAACAGCCCCTTGGACTTATGAAATGTACTGCACCGCTATAATTGTGAATGGTAGTGGTCACTCAGGAGACTGGCAAAGCTGGGAAGCCCCGTGGGGTGCCCTCTGTGTTTCTGGCATCTCGCAGCCCATCTATCTGGGGGATATCGATGGCATTTTCAAGGGAGATCAGACCCATCCATCTAATGATACATGTGTGTGGTCACACAGAATCTGCTGCTTGTCCAGGCTCACACCAGAGCTTTGACCTTCAGTGGAAGCACAGATGGACACATGGCCCCAGCCGTTCTGCATTCATGCCAAGTCAGCTTGTTGTTCAGAGGGAGAAGAGTGTCGTGTGCCATTTGGACCTTTGCAGCAAATGTGGGAATAGGCAGTTCCGCTTATCTATTACAGAGGCCGTGTGACCTTAAGACAGCTGATTTTCTTCTCTGCCCCTAATATTTTCATCTACACAGTGAGAGACTTCAGGTAGATTATTTGTGGGCATAAATGAGAAAAATGCTAAAACCTTCCCCAAATTGACGTTGTTAAAAATTAATAACTTTCTTAGAAAAAGTTAGCCATGCATACAACTAAGGATATTTCTCAAAATGTCAAGTAGGCTTGACAAAAGTATTTCTCCCTTTGAAGTGTAAATCATATTTTTATAAATAGCGTATTACTTATGTTATTTATCATCAACCAGGGATACTGTTGCCCTAGGGGATACATCGGAATCGTGAGGACTTTGTAAACATCTTTCCAACCTGTACCTATCCTGCCATTAAGAATCGCTGCTCTGGCCAGGCTTGGTGGCTCACACCTGTAATCCCAGCACTCGGGAAACGGGCAGGAGGATCACTGTAGGTTTGAGGCCAGCCTGGGCTACAAAGTGAGTTCAAGGCCAGCCTGAACTGCATAGCGAGACCCTGCCTCAAAAAGGCAAAAAAAAAAAAAAAAAAAAAATACTGCTTTAATAAGGCACTATTTGTCATTGGTGTGTGTTACACAAATGGAGGCTAGAAAAGATAACTTTTTTATAAGAAATAATGAACATTACTGAGGTATTTAAGAAATCTTTTCTATATGCATAAATATATGTAGAGATAAAATTTACCTAATTTTATAACTGACATTAGAAGCCATTAAAGTTTCACTTCTTTTCTAGTTCTTTGTCCCTTTGACACAAGTGTTTGTGTTTGGTTTCTCTTTTTTGAAGGAACCTATACCAGGGTACTAGTTTCCCTTATTCACCTAGTATTTATTAAAACGGGACCCTGACCAGGACAGAAGATAAAGCGTAACAATGAAGTCTTGGGTTCTGATGTCAGTGTTGTGGCATTAGGTGTTGCGTGATGGAGATTAATAATTTGAATTCAGTGGATTATGATAAAATTTTATAAAACCAAAGCATAAGGGAGTCAGGGACAGAGTTCTAGTTTTCCACTTGATGTTCCAAAAGTTATCAGCAAAGAACCAAGGGGATGACAAGGAACACATTCCTCGAAGACCCCACTGTATTAATGCCTGTCAAATAGAAACTATGAAATAAATCAAAACCAGGGAGTGAGGGATTATAGGCAGGCAGTTTTGCTTTAGAGAGCTTTTAAAGACCAAATATAGTGCTTCCTTAAAAAGAAGAGATGTATCTAAGGGAAGGAGCTGCTTCGCCATGCCTCCTTTGCTTCACTGTTTTCAGGCTTGGGCTGTGTGTGTGTGTGTGTGTGTGTGTGTGTGTGTGTGTGTGTGTGTGTCTGTGCTCATGTTTTGTTTGTTCACACTGCTGGCTTTAGATAATGTAACCAAGGGTCAGAACCACTTGGACTTACCCTCTCATATTACCCCTCCCAACCTTGAATCAGGTCACAGATGGGATTCATTTCAACTTAGCTCCACAGCCGAAGTGTAGGGTCAAAATCCGCTCCCCGTGTTTTCTCTCCCGGCCCTTGGCTGTGAGACACATGGCGGCCATGTGCCATGAGAGCTGATAGCAGCTCCTTTTCACTTAGACTTAGCCCAGGAAAATTTTCAAGGAGGATATCTGGGCTTCTATAATGTGGAAGAAATCTCCAGTTTAGATTATTAAATCACTTATAGAGCTTCATTCGCCTGGTCTTGCCCAGGAAGGCCAAATGGAAAAGTGGATGTCACAATGGATTAGCCTTTGGAATAATGTTGCTGAAGGGGCATGTTTCTAATGTCTGGGAGCTTGGTAAATGAGCCCCTGCAACATTCGCTCTGCTGCTGAAGTTTTTTCTGTGCTTTAAAGGGAATAGGAAACATCTAAAATTACCCTAACTCTTGAAGAGTAGATTTTAGACAAATACTTTATGTTTGCTCTTTGGAAAGAAAAGTTAATATTTTAATGAGATACATAGGAAGGAGTTGGGAAGAAAGGATATTTTTTCATTGGCATCAGTGTTCTAGAGTAGATAACAAGTGAAAATAGGTTAAGATAAAATTTTATAAACCAAAGCATCAGCTTCTGTAATCCAGCAGAGGGCAGAAGAGAGTTCCAGCTAGGAATTATCCTAAGAAAACTGTGACAATCCAAGACAAAATTCAGTGACACTTTTGTAGACACACCACCTACAGGATGTTAATATCCAAGCTCCTCTGGTTATATAGATGGGTCCCAGCTGGTGTGTTTATGGCTAGTTCGTTTCTGTCTAGGATGAAAGCACAAAAACAATTTTGAGGTATTTAGATCTTAGAGGAGACAGCAGTATAGCACCCAGATGACAATAATAGCACATTAATTACTTGAGGTCTTTACTCCACATAACACAACATTTCACTATTTTCCATTTGTATTTATGGCTAGACAGGTGGAACTGTAAAACAATGAAGTGTAAATTATTTTATTGTCAAATATCTTTTGGTTTGGAAGTGACCGTATGTGTCCATGCAATGATGAAAATTACTTTCACAACCTTTTTGAAACTGAGAAATCAACCATATCCTTTTATACCAATAGCTGGAAGTTGTGCTGGTCATATTCCTTACCTTGCAAAGATGAGATTACTGTGAAAACATGGTCACCGCTCAGAAATGGATCTTTGTCCTGATGTTTTCAATAACTCTATAATTTCTGCACAAACCGTCTTCACTACAAATTAAGTGTGGAAAATTTAGTTTCCTTTCGACAATGGTTTTTAAAGGCCAGACTTAGCAAGCAGAAATACAGACAGTGGAGGTGGACAGCGCAGAGGCAGCGAGAAGCCAAGCAAAGGGTATGGAGAATAGATTTGGGAGAGGAGGAGGGAGTTGAAGCATATGAAATTTTCAGCCTGAGTGACCTAGTGAATGGTAACATTGTTAATCCAGGCAGTGACTGGGAGAAGAGGTGCCCTGGTTTATAATTGCAAATGCATTGCTTTTCACTCTGAAAGAAAAATCTGTTGTGGTTCTTCCATTTGGAAAAGGGTAGATTCCAGCTCGGGCAGAAAAAGAACAACGTATCACTAGCGTGTAGCAGGCCGCAGTTGGGTTTTATACCCAATCTGAACTTTGGTTCTTGGTAAGTCAGAGCGTTGTGTGTTAATGCAGAAGAAGACTCTTCCATCTGTGCTTCCTATCATAGTGCTTACTCTTTTTCTTTCTGCCCCCCCAGGAATGGTACAAAAACTGGACCAAAAACTTCCGGTGGCCAATGAGTACCTGTTGCTCTCCGGAGGAGTGCGGGAAGGTGTGGTGGACCTGGACTTAGACGAACTCAATGTCTATGCCCGGGGCACTGACTATGACATGGACTTTACCCTTCTGGTGCCAGCCCTGAAGCTGCATGACCGTAACCAGCCTGTGACCCTCGATATGCGCCACTCAGCCTTGTGCCACTCCTGGCTGAGCCTGCGGCTCTTTGACGAGGGGACAATCAGCAAGTGGAAAGACTGCTGCACCATTGTGGATCACATCAATGGTGCCACCAACTACTTCTTCTCCCCCACCAAAGTGGCCGACTGGTTCTACGACTCCATCAGCATTGTCCTATCAGAGATCCAGAAGAAGCCCCAGCGAGGGATGCCAAAGGTGGAGAAGGTAGAGAAAAATGGGACCATCATCTCCATCATTCTGGGGGTGGGGAGCAGCCGCATGCTGTACGATATCGTCCCTGTGGTGTCTTTCAAAGGCTGGCCTGCGGTGGCCCAGAGCTGGCTGATGGAGAACCACTTTTGGGATGGGAAGATCACCGAGGAGGAAGTCATCAGTGGGTTTTACCTGGTACCCGCTTGCTCCTACAAGGGTAAGAAGGACAATGAGTGGCGGCTGTCCTTTGCCAGGAGTGAAGTGCAGCTGAAGAAGTGCATCTCCAGCAGTCTCATGCAGGCCTACCAGGCCTGCAAGGCCATCATCATTAAACTCCTGTCGCGGCCCAAGGCGATTAGCCCCTATCACCTGCGGAGCATGATGCTCTGGGCCTGCGACAGACTTCCTGCCAACTACTTGGCTCAAGAAGACTATGCGGCCCACTTTTTGCTGGGCCTCATTGATGACCTTCAGCACTGTCTGGTCAACAAGATGTGCCCCAATTACTTCATCCCTCAGTGCAACATGCTGGAGCACCTGTCGGAGGAGACGGTCATGCTCCACGCCCGGAAGCTGTCCTCTGTGCGCTCAGACCCTGCAGAGCACTTGCGTACCGCCATCGAGCATGTCAAGGCGGCCAACCGACTGACCTTGGAGCTGCAGCGGCGAGGGAGCACCACCAGCATCCCCTCTCCACAGTCCGACGGAGGGGACCCCAACCAGCCTGATGACCGTTTGGCCAAAAAACTGCAGCAGCTGGTGACTGAGAACCCGGGGAAGTCCATCTCTGTCTTCATTAACCCTGATGATGTCACCAGGCCTCATTTCAGAATTGATGATAAATTTTTCTGAGTGTTTTGCTGACTTTTGTTTTCCCCACTCCTGGTTCTAAAACTCTCATCCCACGTGGCGTGGTTTGTGATTCTGTCTTTCTGTTTTTTACGTATCCAGCTTTGATTGGATGTGTTAAGGACAAATTTTAAACTTCCTGGTTCTGAGGGATCGCGCAGGTTCTGAAACAGGATATTACTATTTCATATTCTGCCTCTGATTTTTGTTGTGAACGTTTTCTAGTCCTCCTCATGTGGTTTTGTTTGTTATGTTTTCCCACTGTTTGTTTAAAGGAGAACTTGAGCCATAGATGGAAACGCCCATGAATCCTGTTGCTTCTTTCTGTTTCGTACTCTGTGCAAATTTGTTAATGGGTCTTAGGAAACAAATCTCTTCCTGATACTTAAGGATTCTATTATATATTTGTTTTATTTCTGTTTTTATTTTTCTAGTGACTTTTCATAACTATGGATATTTGAGAATCAGAAGTACCTGGGAACTACCTGGCATGTTGGTTGGATTTCTCTCTTTCTGACCTGTGGCCAGAACAGCTTCCCCTTTTTCTCCACCAAACCATGTAAACTTTGAAAGTAATGCTACAAATTGTGTTTTGGAGCAGCTTTATTGAATGAATGTAATTGTCCTCGGATCAGCAAACATCGGAGGGTTTGGAGGGTGTGTTTGATAGCTTCCTGAACAGAATTAAGGTTTCCAAATGTTAGTTTTAGAGTATGTAATTATTTGAAGCCTTATTTAAATCCTATTAAAGAACAATACCATTATAATTGTTATTTGCACTAATGAAATCTTTGCCATTGTCAGAGTCGTGATGTGTGTTTCGATATAAATTAACATCCACTCTTGAAATGCTCTCATGTTTCGGTTCGCTCATTTCTCTCAGTCAAGAGAACAATTTTTTGCATTTGTTTAGTTTTCCTTTCACTGTGGGTCCTGTTTTTGCCCTCTTTGATATTCCTGGTTTCTGTCTCACTGAGAGAAGTTTTTAAAGCTTTATACCTGTTCATTGACACTATGTAAAGCCGAGAAAGATATATACTTGATAAAGTAGGTGTCTTTGTATTTATTTCTTTTGGGGTTCTAGAGATAAGCTTTTTAACAAAGGCTCTTTACCTCTCCTGAGCTTTTGAGAAAACTGGCAAGAAAAAATTATTATCCCCAAATAGATGATACCATGGCTGCTCAATAGCAGGGTTTACTGCAGAGCAGGAACCAGGAAATATCTATGGGTGGCAGCATTGGATAAAGCTGTCCTGTCTTCATAATGAAATTACTTTTCAGATTTAGGTGCTGCAAGGCATTGGCTCCCTGTTTTGGTTTGGACTCGAGGTAGACTGGTAATTGAGGAGTCAAGGAGCCGGCCAATCTCCCAAAGGATGCCCACAATATCTAATGGATATTAGATAATGCTAATGGAAAAGTCAAGCAACATATTGGTTTTATTCTTGAATGTCCAGGCTCATAGTTTTTGGATGATGGCCATTTGGAATCAGGCATATGTGGTCTTGGGTTTTTGCATGGGAATTAATGTAATGCTTATAAAATGAAAATGAAATCATTCAACAGTCTTAAGTGAGACACAAAGATAATAATAAAAAAGAAACATACTGGCCTTGAAATTTTGCTGTTGTTGTTATTCATGTGCAATCCCAAAATTATTTTCTTAGTGGTAATAGTGATTTCCAGTAAATACAGCTGTGGTCTTTCAGAGCAAATGTTTTTGTAGTGAACATTCAGTATTCATTTTTCCTTTCCCCCAAGTTTCCTGCCAGTATCTACTCATTGTCCATGTAATTTATGGCCTTCTGAGAAAACAGCTTGATTACCAGCTCCAGGCAAGCCTCGTCATTGGAAGATCCAATCGACATGAACCATCATTTCCTTGAACATAAAGATCAGTGAAAGACGCATGATGTAAGCTGCTCTGGTCATCCACAGGCAGTGCGTTCATTCTGTGTTGGAATTACGGGAAGGAGTGCACTCTCCATGCATATAGAAGCAGCCTGTTGACTTTGATTGCTACTCACAACTATCACACAGTCATCACTAAAACCAATCATAGGATAAAGCTGATGTTGAATGGCACTGTTTAGGATGGGAAATAGGGCTGGGGATTTAGCTCAGCGGCAAAAGCGCCTGCCTGGCAAGCGCAAGGTCGTGTGTTCGGTTCCCGGTACCGGAGAAAAACCAAAAAAAAGAAAAAAAATAGAGATGGGAAATAAAAACTGTGGGCCGTCAGAGCTCCCAAGTTGGTGCACTCTGTACCCATTGGGCTTTGCAGTCACCCTTAATTATTTTTACCCGGTTTCAATTGGACTCAACTCGTCAAAACATTTAAACTAGTATGGAAGCTTATAAACCACTGCAGTAGCTATCTACTTTTTTTTCTAGGAATACATATAAAGGGTACTCATATACTTTATCTAAGAACCAGTATATACTATCTGATTTAATTAATTCCATAGAATACAATAACCTCTATATCTAAGAACTATACACCTGCTAAAGGCTGTTAAAATTTATTAGACTTTGACATTACATCATACCTTGTAGATTAAAGTAGTTATATATTTTTAATGTAGCAAACATTCAAACAGTGATTGCTCTAAAATAAACTGTCACAACTTGCTCTGAATTGGTGTCTCAAATACAATTAGCAACATTTGCCTTGTGGTAAATGCTATGTTTCTAGAGAAAATTTCATCACAGGCATGATTGGAAACTAGCACATTGATCCTTCTGGTGCATTCATCCCTTTTACCACCTCTAGATGTACTGAAGAACATAAACTTTTAAACTTCTCAAGTCTAGCATCTCCTGGACTCTTGTTATTTTGAAACCTTTTAAAGTTGTTTGTAATTCCCCGAAATTTCTACCAACTTAAAACATTATTAAGCCAAAGATTGAGAGTGAATACAAATACAGTGCGGTGTGATACCTTTCCTTTTGTGAAACCTAAACAAATCATTGAATTTCTAACCAAGCGCTTGTAAAGGCCAGGAATTGGTTAAAATCACTTATAGGGGCGTTGGTGGTGTGTGCTTTATTCCCAGCTACTCAGGAGGCTGAGGCAAGGAATTGCTTGAGCCCAAATATTTGAGACCAGCTCTGGCAATGTAACGAGTCCCTTCTCAAGAATTAAAAAAAAAAGCACCAATCACTTGTGTTTCAAATACAATATAAAATGCTTTAAGGCTGGACTTGTAATTTCAACATTATATATGTCTAATGTCCTTGTGTGTGTGTGCGTGTGCATGCGTGTGTGTGTACTCCTGTTTTTGTTTTTTTTTGAAAGTAGGTTATTGTCTGCCTTCTGTCTTTCTCTTCTGAAATGAAAGGTCCAGAGGTGCAAATAAAGGTTGGTTTGAGAGCGGATAGAGCCACTCTGAAATTTTCAAGTCAGGAACAAACAGGTAAAAATTAAGAATACCCCTGCAATCGCTGTGCAGAAATTATCTGAGACAAAAAGGTAGATATTATATGGCTAATTTTACATTTTGGTGGAGGTGTGAGGAAATGAGGAGGAGGCTTCTGGGGCTAAAGAACTCCTGCTCAGTTCCACACCACCCCTAAACATGCATACACATCACAGTTGCAATTGGAGGTTCCCTTGGACTGACTTTTGTGACAGTTTCCCAGAGAAATAAGCCTACCGGTCCCAGCTAGAGATTGGTTGTTTTGGACCAGATTATTCCCTTGCTTTCAGAATCTTCTTGACTTGAAACTCAGCCTGGATGGGCTTGCTGAGAAGGGAAGGAGGCAGATGCTTACCAGGTGCTGCTGAACCTTGGGGACAGTGGACGTGGTGTGCATTCAAGTGTTCTCTGCTGGAGACCGGGCTCCTGATGTGGTGGCGCTGAGAGGCGGTGTAAAGGTGGGAGCTCACAGGAAGCGATTCTGCCCTCAGAAGGGGTTTATTCGCAAGTGATTGTCATGAAAGAGCCACCCCAGCCCCTCCCTGGGTCCTGGCTTCCTGTCTTCTGTGTGATTCCCCCCTTCCATAGGCATGCCTCCCATGATGTCCTTTGCAGGTCGTGATGGAGCCCTCACCATGGGAAGAACAGATGAAACTGCTAGATCTTGGACTTCCAGCTTCCCAAATCTGAAAGCTAATTTGTTTGTTTTTTAAAAGTACCCATTCTCAGGGATCTTATTAATAGCAACAGAAAACAGAACGGTACAATGCCTGGACTTCCCTCCTGAAAAGCTCACTCCAAAACCTGTTCCCTTGGACCAATTGCTTGTCTGGCTGATTCACTTTCCTTCTTGTCATTGTTAAGGATCTGGGAAAGACTGTTTCCCACTCCCCATAGTCTGCCCATCGTTAAACAGAGTAGTAATACTTCTACTACTGGAAGGACAGGGAGGCCTCATTCTTTGTTACTATCATCGGGTGAATGCAAATCATTTTCACGTGATTAAATTGATATAATTGATGATCTTCTCTGAATAAATTAACTAATTTTTAAGATGTACCCCTTGTGCTATAATTTCTTCCACAGATAAGGAAAGAAAGCATAATGTAAACATTTTGTAATACATACTCACCAAGAGGTGCTTATTTACACATCTACAGTTCTACCTCTTAATGTATCACATAGATTTCCTGGAACTCAGTACCTGACACCCACAGGTTAGTTAGAGGAGAGGTACATTTTGTCTCACAGCTTCAGAAGTTCCAGTCTATGTTTAGCAGCCGTAAACACAGAAATGGCATAGTGGAGGAGTCCGGGATGGAGAAAAGCTGTCCATGTCATTGCAGCCAAAAAGCAGAGAATGGAGGGGCCAGGGAGGGAGATAGACGTTTCCAGATCGTGTCCCCGATGACCTGCACCTCCTGGCCAGACCGTGCTTCATAAGAGCAAGTCAGCTGTATCGACCCACCCAGGAGAGCAGAAGGACTTTGGGAACATTGTTATTCTAAACCATAACCGGACAAGAATACATCCAGGACACTCACACAGTGACCCACCTCTTCCTACCAGGCTGCACCCACTAGTAGCACATCCATCCAGCCCCGTGCCTGTTGCCCCGACGACCCAAACATCTCCTGAAAGCCCATTGGTGAACACATGAGACATGAGGAACATTTTAGACCTAAATCATAACAATTAGCTGGAAAATATATATTTTTTAAGAAGCACAAAACATTTTACATGGTTGGATGCAAGCGTACTAGTTTAACTACAATAATGGTGTTTACGCCCATTGATAGCGATACTCTACTGTAATAAATTCAAGGGGAACATGTTTTATGACTACATATTTCTTACATGATGCACCTCTTATGTGGATTTAGTGTGACCCCGACTTTCTATAGCTGAGTTGAAAATTTTCACCCCCAACTGGGTACCAGCTTTCAGGAAACATCAGAGAGCCCATGTGACTGGATCAGTGTAGTGGTTAAAAAGAAACCTCAGAGAATTCAAATATTAGTCACCATGTAAAAATATTGTTCAACATCTACATATCTACCCTTAATGTGTTATGTCAGCTTAAATGAGAATGTTTGTTCTCGCTCCCATGATCTCTCTCTTCGGGGTGAACGGACTTTTAATCTGAGCTGGCTAACAGTGCACTGACATGGTTTTTTCACTTGCGATGTTCTGTTCCATTACTTAATCTCAGAAGATACGGGGTCTAAGTGTGACTAGAAAAAACACTAGTTTCTTTGATTTTACATTCTTCTCTGTAAAATGCACAGCTAAAACAGCTGTTCTCCGCCTCTGGTTTTTACTAAGATCACTCCAGTCTTGGGAAAAATTTCAATTTTAGATCTATAAATCCATCTATGTACACACCTAGTATATTTATTGTAATCAAACATTACTTTAAAAAGTCTTACTAATTTACCCCAGCGTGTGGAGCCAGGCACAACCAACATGTACTCGACACCCCTTAGTGCAACTCTTCTTGTTTGATTCTTTACATTTGTGAGGCTGCTCAAGCACCACAGCAATTTGAAACACAGAACATCTAAACCTCAAGACTTCAAAAATCAGATAACTTGTTCAAAATTATTTAGATGATAAGTAAGTGGCAGGGAAGAGCTAGGCTTTGGACCTGGGTGTTTTCTCCCCCCGCCCCCAATTGAAATCTTTCTTCTCTGCCATTCTGTCTCAGGTATTGGGATCTATTTTTACTATCTAGGGTTAGTTCTACTATATGCAATCAAAGGGGGCCTGCATTCAGATAGCAGATTTTGATCCACACTATGATAATAGAACTTGGAGCAAACTTACTTCCAGAGCTTTTTCATCATCGGAAGAGATAGATCTTTAGAGAACATGAATCTTCTATCACTGACAGATTCTAGCAGATGAGAATGGGGAAGTTTCCAGTGGGATTAGGAAAATAGCCCTAACGATTAGCATCATTTTCATTCCTGAGCTTGGAGCAGGGGGATAATAGGAGTATGACTACTACAAAAGTATATTATTTTGGAGATGTGAGGAAAGAAAAAACCGGGTGGTTGGGGACTTACATTTAAGAATTAGCTATAAATAAAAGGTAAACAACAACTTTAACAGCTCTTTTAGGTAGCACTGATATAAAAATAAAACATATATGAGCAAACTATCTTTTAGCTTTTAAATTGTATACTTGTGCATTTTAAATTGTATACTTGTAATTTAGGTTTTTTAATATGATTTTTAAAAATTTGTCAAAATTTT